CCGCCACCGCCACCGCCACCAGCACCAGCACCAGCACCAGCACCAGCACCAGCACCACCGCCACCGCCACCGCCACCGCCACCGCCACCGCCACCGCCACCGCCACCGCCACCACCACCACCACGACCACGGCGACGACTACGACGACTACGACCGCTGCTGCTGCTGCTGCTTCTACTGCGACGACGACGACGACGAACCACAGCGAGTCTTACTTTGCAGTCTGAGTCGTGAGCTGTGTTGCCCACACCCAGCAGCGTCGGCAGACTGGGCGATACCATGTTGGATGAAGTGGCATGACTCGGGCACAACATAGGAAATCTTCGAAGCGAAGTCCGCTTTACATCCTTTTGCGCTCAGCTGGAGACCCGTCCACTGGCCCTTCTTCCTCAGTGCGGCGCACCTTGGCAGAAACCCTTCAGACCCCAAGTCTCATATACTGGCACTGAGGGGAACTGAAGCCAAGTGGCCTTTACCTGCAGGTCGGTCGCCCGCTGAGGCACACCTCAAGACGCTAAACCCTAAACTCCAAAACCGCAAGCACTAAGCCGTACACCCTGAACCCTAAAACGCTGAAGCCCTAAACGCTTTACGGGGGTCCAGATTGAAGGCTTCCCCAACATGCTGCACTACAAGATGCCCCCAACGACTCCGCAACCCCTTATAATTTAGAAAAAGCGGTCCCGTGCAGGATTAACATAGTTGGGGTTCAGGGTTTAGGCTTAGAAATTGGTTCGAGAGTATTTCGACCAGGGCGTAGTGTAGCTGAAAGCAATCCAGCCCTCAGCCAGAAACACCGCCCGCAGAACCCTCAAGGAGTCGTCATAGAACCCGTAAGGGTACACATGCCTAAACCCTAAACCCTAAACCCCAACCCTTAGAAGCCGTCAGCGCACATTCGACGGATTGTTTAGCTCCAAACCCGGGCCGCGGACGCTCGGCCAACAGTCAAAAAGGGTTCCGATTTAGGTTTTGGGTTTAGGGTTTAGGGTTTAGGGCTTAGGTTTGAGGGTTTAGGGTTTAGGGTTGAGGGTTTAGGATTGAGGGTTTAGGGTTTAGGATGGAGGGTTTAGGGTTTGGGTTTAGGGTTTAGTGTTTAGGGGTTTAGGTTTAGGGTTTAGGATTGAGGGTTTAGAGTTTAGGCTTGAGGGTTTAGGATTCAGGGTTTAGGGTTTAGGCTTGAGGATTTAGGTTTAGGGTTTAGGTTTGAGAGTTTAGGGTTTAGGCTTCAGGGTTCAGGGTGTTTGAAGAATATTGTTACAGTAAAGCTATATACGGACAATCGAAGCAGGCAATTACTAATGGTTCCGAACAAAGCACTGTGTTGCTATGGAGGATATACGGTTAAGGTTTCAGACTGGTTTCGATTGAATGCTCGCCAACCCCAAGGAGCATAGGATCCCACGGCGTCCGGGGCCACCACTGCTCGGCCCAATCTTCGCAGCCGCCAGCCTCTGCTCCACCTGCTAGCGCACTGCACCAAGGCAAATGCTATCATCAGTGTCATCCGCAGCAGGTGCTCAGCCCTCCTTTCCCACGAAGCCTAGAATCCCCTGAAACCTTAACGGTGACCTCGCCCAAGAAGTTCTCCTCTGCTCGAAGAATTTCGGCCTTGAGAGCCTCTGCTAGGACAGCACGAGTTGCCAAGCATCATTGAGGCAGTGGCAGTGGCAGAGTGGGCCTTGGCTTCACCGGAGGAGGCATTCTTGATGGTCATCGTCACCTCCACGCCCTCCTCACAAAGCGGCGAAGAAGAAGCTCTGACCCTTTCATGTTCGGCTCTCTGTTAAAGGGCCGGGCTTCCGCTCCGCCCAGCTCGATGTGAAGTGAACCTCGCAAGAAGAGCGGCGCGTGGCGCTCGCGGGCAGAGCTCGTCTCTGGGGCTCCGTCGGCTGGCAAACTGAGCCATGGCAGCCTGCACCTGCAGAGACAGAACACTGCGGCTTTGCTCTTCAAAAAGCCCGGCCTCCCTTTGCAGGCCCCTTACCTCCTGGAGCAAGAGGCCACTCTGCTCCGAAGCCGCGAGCCCCTCAAAGTCCAAGGTGGGCAGCACCTCAGACACAACGTTGGAGTGGCCCGCGAGACCGGCCCTCTGACTCCGAGCCCCTCCGAGCAGACGGCGAAAACTACCACGGTGCTGAAGCTGGTTCCGGTGCCCTGCACTGCTGCTACACTGCTACACTCGCACCGCATCTTCCAAACGCCGCGTGCGACAATATGCAAGAACCTCCCCCTCACTGCAAAAGCAGCTGCCTTCAGGGGGCGGATAGGAGCCGCAGCCGAGGCCTGTCGATCCGACGATCAGCTACATCCTAACGGTCGGGGTTCCTTTAGGGGCTAGTCAGATTGGCTTATTAAACTTACGGCCTCCTTTAGTCGTTCCGCTGAGTGCTCGTGAAAAGGTCTAACCCTCAACCTCAAACCCTTTACGCCAACACAACTAATTTGACGTGGGGTTGGGGGGGAGTTTTAAACTGCAACTACATTCGGAAACCCTGCCGATTTTTCAGCACCCCTACATCAGAGCCAGATGCCCCATCACCCCTAAAACCCTCGAACGAAGCCTTATTCTGCCGCCAGATATCAAGCCGCCTGTATGAAAGCTCCACTTCTAAGCTCTGACACTGAGCCCTACACCCGTGACCGGTCCCTGGGGTAACCACGGCTGTTATTGAAAAAGGTTCCCTTTACCGGAAACCAAATGCAAAACTGCAATGTCTGCGAGAAACAGAATACTCGGCAGCCCGGAAACCTTACCATAACCTGTCAAACAACATGGCACTCTAAACATCAGGCCCTCCAAACACGAAAACACCCTACACCCTAGTGCCCCAAGGCCCCGGCAGACATTCCCAAAGCGAATTCAAAGTCTTGCCGGTGCTACTATGTCTTGGTCCAAGATACGCTTGTACAAGAAGCTCCGCAGGTTTCGTTCCTCTTGATGTGTGTTTTTCATGTCTGGAGCGGGCTTTAGAAAAGCAGATTTCTAAGGGATGCGTAAGGTTGAGGAGTTTCAGACTCATTCAAGCTTAGTCTTGTCTTGTCCAAGTCCAACCCCAGAATGATGATCTGGAGGCTTGTTCAACATAGATTCTGTTCTAGCTGGACTATGCTCTGGAGGTGTATGCTGCGAGAGCCGTCTCATGCCGTCTCATCTGCTAGTGCCAAATGGCTCACGAGAAGCAGCGGGTGCACATGNNGCAGCAGTAGCAGCAGCAGTACTACGGCAACAGTAGTAGTAGTAGTAGTAGTAGTAGCAGCAGCAGTAGTAGTAGTAATACTACTACCATCGTTCCCCCATTGACAAGCATTTGCAAAAACCTGCAAACCCCTGTGTGGACGCTGTTTGCTACGACTTCCTCTTTCGCCTTCCTCCCAGTGTGGGCAATGATTTCAACAAGACTGTTACATCTTCCGGGTTGACTGTCTTGGGGGTTTTGGCTTGAAACCGGAACATGATACATTGAATGATTATGATTATTGAAAGTGGGTCTTGATGAAGCAGTCAGCCCACGACATTTTGGTGCGTCCGCACTTGATTAGGACGTTGATGGGCGGCAACAGCAACAACAACAGCACCAACATAAAACCACAACACCAAACAACAACACCAACGACGATCAACACCAACAGCAATCAAGACCAACACCAACAACACCACCCCGGAACTGCATGACAAGCGTAGCCAAACTTCCACCATGCATGTGCATGTATGGACATCAGCAAAGCTACTGCGTGCTTCTTGCCTGCGGGCAAGAAATCCTTGTATCCTCTGGTAGTAGGCCTAAAGCTCTCGAAAAAGGTCCTCTGCTTCAAACTCTGTGATGCACGGAAGCACTTTGAGGAAGTCTTTTGGACCCGCCCGCACGATTGAATCAAGTGAAGACATCATCGACCTTTGGCTGAGCTTCAGCCTCGGTCGCCATGGGAGGGGTGCTCCTGCAGTTAGAGTCAATAAGAGGATGCCTTTCTACTCTTTGGTCTATGTTTGTAGCAGGGATCTTATGCTTCTTGTGGGGTTCGATGCTCGGGTCCGTTTCGGTGCCTGAAACTCCCAGGTTGAAGGCTTCGCCCGCAGGTTGGAGCCGTAATCACGCAGTCTAGCTCTCCTTCTGTTACCTTCCAGGAACAACCAAGCAACCACAACTGTAGCATAGCCTTTCAATGCTCTACCACACATTTTGCAGAGGCTTTCCAAAGATCAGTTGACCGACGTGTTGTCGTAAGAATCTAGCCGGGCCACGATTTTGCTGTTCATGCTTAAAGCAACGCTTCGGCTTCTCACAGAGGTCTATCCCACGGCTTGAAAAAATGTTCACGCGCGCCTTTCTTGTAAAAACGTCAAGCACATAACCTGCACGGTAAGAAAACTGTCACGCACATCTTTCTTGTGTAAACTTCGAGCACACAGCCTGCACGGTAAGGAAGCTGTCACGCACATCTTTCTTGTGTAAACTTCGAGCACCCAGCCTGTGCGGTAAGAAATTGTCACGCACATTGTTCTTGTGTATACTTCGAGCACACAGCCGTCACGGTAAGGAAACTGTCACGCACATCTTTCTTGTGTAAACTTCGGGCACACAGCCTGCACGGTAAGGAAGCTGTCACGCACATCTTTCTTGTGTAAACTTCGAGCACACAGCCTGCACGGTACGGAAACTGTCACGCACATCTTTCTTGTGTAAACTTCGAGCACACAGCCTGCACGGTAAGGAAATTGTCACGCATATCTTTCATATGTAAGCCTCGAACGCACAGTAAAGAAATTGTCACGCACATCTTTCTTGTGTAGACTTCGAGCACACACAGCCTGCACGGCAAGGACACTGTCACGCACATCTTTCTTGTGTAAACTTCGACCGCACGGTAAGGACATTGTCACGCACATCTTTCTTGTGAAAACTTCGCACGCACGCTGAGGAAATTGTCACGCACATCTTTCTTGTGTAAACTTCGAGCACAAAGCCTGCACGGTAAGGAACTTGTCACGCACATCTTTCTTGTGTAAACCTCGAGCACACAGCCTGCACGGTAAGGAAATTGTCAAGCAAATCTTTCTTGTGTAAGCTTCGAGCACAAAGCCTGCCCGGTAAGGAAACTGTCACGCACATCTTTCTTGTGTAAGCTTCGAGCACAAAGCCTGCACGGTAAGGAAACTGTCACGCATATCTTTCTTGTGTAAGCTTGGAGCACAAAGCCTGCACGGTAAGGAAACTGTCACGCACATCTTTCTTGTGCAAGAATCGAGCACACAGCCTGCACGGTAAGGAAACTGTCACGCACATCTTTCTTGTGCAAGAATCGAGCACACAGCCTGCACGGCAAGGAAACTGTAACGCATATCTTTCTTGTGTAAACTTCGAACACAGTGTAAGGAAATTGTCACGCACATCTTTCTTGTGTAAACTTCGAGCAACAGCCTGCACGGTAAGGAAATTGTCACGCACATCTTTCTTGTGTAACTTCGAGCACACAGCCTGCACGGTAAGGAAACTGTCACGCACATCTTTCTTGTGTAAACTTCGAGCACAAAAGCCTGCAAGGCATGGAAACTGTCACGCACATCTTTCTTGTGTAAGCTTCGAGCACACAGCCTGCACGGTAAGGAAACTGTCACGCACATCTTTCTTGTGTACACTTCGAGCACAAAAGCCTGCACGGTAAGGAAACTGTCACGCACATCTTTCTTGTGCAAACTTCGAGCTCACAGCCTGCACAAAAAGACACGGTAAGGAAACTATCACGTTCATCTATCTTGTGTAAACTTCGAGCACACAGCCTGCACGGTAAGGAAATTGTCACGCACATCTTTCTTGTGTAAAGTGTAAACTTCGAGCACGCAGCCTGCACGGCAAGGAAATCATCGCACACATCTTTCTTGTGTAGCTTGTAAACTCGAACACACGGCCTGCACGGTACAATGAAACTGTCACGCACATCTGCAAAACTTTCTTGTGTAAATTCGAGCACTCAGCCTGCACGGTAAGGAAATCTTCACGAGCATCTTTCTTGTGCAAACTTCGAGCACATAGGTTTGTACAGTTAGGAAATTATCACGCACTTCTTTGCTGTGTAAATTTCGAACTGGCAGCCTTGCACGGCAAGGAAACTGTCACGCACATCTTCCTTGTGTACTCTTCGAGCAAACAGCCTTCACGGTAGGGAAATTGTCACGCTTTTCTTTTGTGTAAGCTTCGAGCACACAGCCTGCACAGTAAGGAAACTGTCGCTCACATCTTTCTTGTAAAAACTTCGAACGCACGGTAAGAAAATTGTCACGCACATCTTTCTTGTGTAAACTTCGAGCACACACAGCCTGCACGGCAAACTGTCAAGCACATCTTTCTTGTGTAAACTTCGAGCACACAGCCTGGAAATTGTCACGCACATCTTTCTTGTGTAAACTTCGAACGCACGCTGAGGAAATTGTCACGCACATCTTTCTCGTGTAAACTTCGAGCACACAGCCTGCACGGTAAGGAAACTGTCACGCACATCTTTCTTGTGTAAACTTCGAGCACACAGCCTGCACGGTAAGGAAATTGTCACGCCTATCTTTCTTGTGTAAACTTCGAGCACAAAGCCTGCACGGAGGAAACTGTCTCGCACATCTTTCTTGTGTAAACTTCGAGCACACAGCCTGCACGGTAAGGAAATTGTTCACGCATATCTTTCTTGTGTACACTTCGAGCAAACAGCCTGCACGGTAAGGAAACTGTCACGCACATCTTTCTTGTGTAAACTTTGAACGCACGGTAAGGAAATTGTCGCGCACATCTTTCTTGTGCAAACTTCGAGCACACAGCCTGCACGGTAAGGAAACTGTCACGCACATCTTTCTTGTGCAAACTTCGAGCTCACAGCCTGCACAAAAAGACACGGTAAGGAAACTATCACGTTCATCTATCTTGTGTAAATTCGAGCACTCAGCCTGCACGGTAAGGAAATCTTCACGCGCATCTTTCTTGTGCAAACTTCGAGCACATAGGTTTGTACGGTTAGGAAATTATCACGCACTTCTTTGCTGTGTAAATTTCGAACTCGCAGCCTTGCACGGCAAGGAAACTCTCACGCACATCTTTCTTGTGTACACTTCGAGCACACAGCCTGCACGTAAGGAAGCTGTCACGCGCATCTTTGTTGTGTAAACTTCGAGCACACAGCCTGCACGGTAAGGAAATTGTCACGCACATCTTTCTTGTGTAAACTTCGAGCACGTAGCCGGCACAGTAAGGAAATTGTCACGCACTTCTTTCTTGTGTAAATTTCGAAGATACAGCCTGCACGGCAAGGAAACTATCTTCCTTGTGTACTCTTCGAGCAAACAGCCTTCACGGTAGGGAAATTGTCACGCTTTTCTTTTGTGTAAGCTTCGAGCACACAGCCTGCACGATAAGGAAACTGTCGCTCACATCTTTCTTGTGTAAACTTCGAGCACACACAGCCTGAGCGGTACGGAAACTGTCACGCACATCTTTCTTGTATAAACTTCAAGCGCACGGTAAGGAAATTGTCACGCACATCTTTCTTGTGTAAACTTCGAGCACACAGCCTGGCAATTGTCACGCACATGTTTCTTGTGTAAACTTCGAGCACACAGTCTGCACAGTAAGGAACTGTCACACACATCTTTCTTTTGTGAACTTCGAGCACACAGCCTGCACGGTAAGGAAATCGTCACGTATATCTTTCTTGTGTAAACTTCGAGCACAAAGCCTGCACGGTAAGGAACCTGTCACGCACATCTTTCTTGTGTAAACTTCGAGCACACAGCCTGCAGGGCAAGGAAACTGTCACGCACTTCTTTCTTGTGTAAACTTCGAGCACACAGCCTGCATGGTAAGGAAACTGTCGCGCACATCTTTCTTGTGTAAACTGCGAGCACACAGCCTGCATGGTAAGGAAACTGTCGCGCACATCTTTCTTGTGTAAACTTCGAGCACGTAGCCTGCACAGTAAGGAAATTATCGCACACATCTTTCTTGTGTAAACTTCGCGCACATAGCCTGGTTAGGAAACACCGCTTCAAGAAGCGCTATGCCTGAGGAGCGCGCCAAGACCCGGAGTGCTTCTGATTCCGCTCCTCCACAGCTCCACAGTCTACAGTGAAGAGCTGCTTGAGTACATGCGCGATTATCCATGTTCTATCCACCTGGTCATCATTCTGCTTTAGTTTCGGGGGGGCCAGGCATTAGGCGTGGGAAATCGCCCCGTGCAATGCCTCGATGAAGGGTCTCCCTCGCGATGCATGCAGAAGCTCTGAACATGTTTGCGCTTCGTACGCAGATATTCCGATATACCCGGTGTTCCATTGATGAGTCTTTGCCCAACTGCGTGGCTCCTCTCGGTAGGGGAGTTGTACCAGAATCTTGACAACGTTGGAAGATGATAGAAGGTGTGCCTCACCCCTCATCCTGACTGAGTTCGTGTCCAGCATGTATGATCGGCAAAAATCATCGAGACTCTGTTTGTGTATCTTTCTCACTCCGTCATACAAGAAGTTCTGACTCAAACGAGACCCGCTTGAACTAATTGTCATCCCTGAAGTGCTTGAATGGAAGAAATGTGCTGAAAACCTTTCAGATGGCCGGCAAGAAGGCAAGCATGGAATTCCCCGTGCGATGTCAAGGTACGTATTGAGCAGGCGCTGCCAGGAAATCTGTGTTGCGATGGGCATTTATCGATGCCCACAGTTGCTTACGTACATGCAAGTATCGTCACAGATAAAGTGCCGGTGTGCGCATGCACAATATTCCACCGTACAAAGGCAGGTCAAGCCCTGCAAAGGCAGATACTCTGGGCCTGTCTATCGATTTGTTCATGGGTTCGCGTAACTCTCTGATCTGCTACAACGCTACGTCGATGGCTGCTATTATGGGTTTCCCAAAAGCAACTGTACCACCCCCTTGATCTCCACCCATGGGGCAGGCCTGTGTCGGCGTCTTCATCGGACGCATGATCCTGCATGAGCAGTGTGTTGTTGGAGAATATTTTCGATGGGCTGAAAAAGAAGCAGATGGTATGGTAGATAGTCCTCTGGTGCAGAAGATGGTGTCATCTCTCCCATCTGGCCTTGGGTCAAAACCCAGCAACTGCAGACGCTCGCGCTCACTGCGACGTGACTGTCGAGAGGATGCCCGCCTAAGGCAGCCTGAGGCCTCAGGGAGAGGCGGCCTTCCGACGTGAAATCTGCCTGCGATTCTGCCAGGCTCTGCGCGCAGTTCCGACAAGAAACAAAATGTGATGAAATGAACCACCACGCACGCCACAGGCACTCTTGGAGACCCTAAACGAACGAGAAGTCTCGGCCTGCACGCCCAGAGCAACAGCCTCGAAGTCGTCCTCTGGTGAGGACCAAGCCTCCGTGGACCTCGGGGACAGCGCTCTGCAGCTGAGCTCAGGCATCCTGTCTTAAGCTCCGGGCTTGGGAGCTGCGCAAGGGGGTGCCTGATCACCAGATTTCCAAATCTCTCTCGCTTTTCAAAATGTTCAAAACGGCTTCATCTCTCAAGTGCCATCGGGCCTCGAGCACAGCCAAGTTGAGTTCTCCCGGGCCCGTCGCCGTGCCCTGGGGTGTTGCCACCTGGCCAAGCCGCGTTAGAACTTGGCCTGGCCTGGCCTGGCCCAGGCCCTGCTGCACTCCGCCTCGTAAGCCGACAAGAGCAGCTGGCCGTACAATTGGACCTTAACGGCTCTGGGCTCTTCTGCGGAGAGCACTCCACTCCTCGCCTGGTCTCTGAGCGCTCTGCCGTCTGCTGGCCGAGGAAGGCATGGCTCTTGCGGAGGGTGCTGGTGACTGAACTCCTGCTCGGATCAAAGTTGGGGGGAATCTTCAGCGACAGTGAACTTCAGGGCTTCAACAGAGGGCTGCATCCGACTGTTATTCGGTTGGGCTGTACGGATCTCTAGTCTGTTTGCCTGTTCCTTCTTCGCTGGGTTCATAGCATGGCCTCCGCGCCGTATCTCTTCGCACATGACATCTCTTGCTCTGTCCCCACCAAGGCATTCCCCACGAAGCTTTGCTCTGTCTGGTGCTTCGCTTTGCATCTCCGAAGGCCTGTCGGCACCTGCTTCCACCCAGGCCGCTTTTTGTCGATGTCCCTGTCGTGAGCTTCCTTTTTTTGGCGCGCCTTCCGCTCGCCACTTGCATGGAGGCTGAGAGGGGAGTCAGACGACCACCAAGGTACAGCGGCACAGCAGCATAGGCTTGGCCTCAAACCTCTTACGAGTTGGCCCGCAAGGCCCGCGGTGGCTCCGACATGTACAAACGGATCGACTGCTCAAACATTGGACCATAACGAGATACATTCGGCCTCAGCTCACAGTCTCAAAATGCCCTCCGTTGCTTCATCCAGGGGCTCACTCTCTTTCCCGACATTGCACCGACATCCCCGGCCTGCCCTGCTCAAAGCTGATGCCGAAGGCCATCATGTATCCCACGAAGCGCCTTGCTTTGGCCCCAGGTGCTTGGTGCTCCATGGGGATGAGGGATGGCTGGGGCAACTGGGGCCGTCCTGGCATCCTTATAGAAGTTATATAGACACATGTGTAGCTCGGTCCATGCAAACGCCGTCACTTGCAGGACTTGTATGGCATCTGTTGCATCCCAGGTTCTGCAGGAAGCTCGTCATCCTGAGATGCCAGTCTCACAGCTCAATTCAGCAAAGGCCTCCCACTCACTGCACACAGACCAAACGCAACTCGAGGAGCGCAGGCTTGCTAAACTGGCTGCCTCTGGCAGACAGACATACAGCATCATACAGCGGCCATCGTCGGCCATGGCATTCAAAGCTCTCCAGCACACCTGCTGGCACAGATCGCCGCCAAACAGCTTCAGCAGCGTAAGCCTGCAGGCGTCTGCATCACTGAAGGCGCGCACCCAACTGAATGAAGAGGGGCCTCGCACAAGGACAGTAGCAAGACTTCCTCCCAAAAGGTCACCTCAGTCGAGATGGAGCTCTGATATTGTCTCCCCTTTCCGCGCCCTCGCCATTCTCTCCCATGCACATGTGCTACTATCCGATTCTGCTAAGGCGGGATATGTCACTGAAGGAGTGACGCCCGCCTTGTTCCACAGCGCGTGGTTGTAAACACGGGAAAGCAGGGACACCTCGCACAAGCATGGCACAGACTGCAAGACTACCGAGTTCAGCAGCCGCTTCTTCTGAGCTCGCCGCCTGCTTGCCGTCCTCATCGTCAGTTCGAAACAACTGGGCCAACACCTGAATGGTATGCTCGGATGGAGCAAGTGTGCGAGACATGTGATTGATGCTCAGCAGCTCGCCATCAAGTCACGACCGCACCTTCCAGCGAAAGCACAGCGAAGAAATGCACAAAGAAGAAGAGCCAGCAACAAGTCTCTGCGGACACAGAGTGGCGCTCTCTTCAGGTGCACCGTTCAACCCTATGTTCGGATGCTCAGGCAATAGCCACGCATCACTCTGCTCGTCCGAAGAGTCCAACGCAGCTTTGAAGCACACTGCAAGCGCCTGGACCAAATTTGCAAGTCCCGCCGTCATCCGTGTGCGCGCACACGCACTTTGCACCGTATGCGGCATGTTGTGGATCATGGCCTCGAACGCTCGAGGGCTGAGATTTTTCCCGGCAGCGCCTCTGACACAACCGAACTTGGCACACCATGAGCAAAGACGTTGCCGTTACTATCTGCCCTTCTTTGCCCCAAGTGTTTACGGCTGCATGCTCGAACTTGATTGAAGCTGCTACTTGCTCCTGTCACTGTCGGCTATGGCATGCACTGGCATGGCAGGGCTTAGCAGCTAAGCGCTCGGCCGTCCAGTTCTGTGCCCTGGGGGTCGTCTCGCATGACTGCAGTGCGGAGGACCTGAAAACAGTTCGACGGCCAGGTGGTGGAACGACTCTCTCCATGCTCTCAAGCGTCGAGGGCAAGAAGCCGGGCATTCCGAATCGCAGTGCCTTAAACCCTAAACCCTAAACCCCAAAAACCTAAACCCCAAACTCCAAAGCCCTAAACCCCTGAACCCTAAACCCCAAAACCCCCAAAGGCCTAAACTCTCACAGCACATGCCCTGACCTGGCAAAAGGCGGCCCGCGGCCGCCACTCGGTGACCCGCCGGCTGAGGCTTTCAGCCTCGGAAGGCCGGATCCAAAAAGCTCGTGGTTTAAGGGTTTAGGGGTTTAGGGTTTAAGGGTTTAGGGTTTAATTAGGGGTTTAGGGGTTTAGGGTCATTGTAGGGCGTAGGTTTGGCCCTGTCTCGAGGTTCGACTGTTGTAGCCTGTCTAGAGATTGTGTGGTTCAGTCAACTTGGCGTCCTGCGCGCCTATGACGGTTTGAGACTTTCCGACAAACGGGCTTTAGGGTTTACACACCCGGTGCGAAGCTCGTGGACAAAAGCACAGCGTAGAAGGCGCAAATACCAAGGAGGCAAGAGCTGCGCGTTTGCTAACAGATACTAAAATGCCACTCGAGTCTACTTTATGGGGAAGACTTGAAGGCAAAAAGCTCTGCTTGCTTCGAGGGTCGTGTGCCACTAGCGTCTGCGCGTCTATTGGAAACTTGGGCCGCAACCTGCTCCCCTTCGGGTCCTCCCAGTGCTTCATGGCTGCTGTTCCACGGTTGACAGGATAACTTGATCAGGAACACAGCTTGTGATGGCAAGAGTCCTTCCAGCATCGAAGATATCACAGGACTCATTTCGTCCATCAGCTGTCGAATGTGCTGCTGGACCTGCTTGTAACATTCTGGAAGAGTCGTCCCAACAATAGCTCGGATGACGTACCCGTTGGTGACAGCAGGATCGGCCGAGACGAGGCATCTAAGCACAGCAGAGCCTGCGCAAGCTGCTGTAGTTCGGGTGTCACCTTGCGCCTAAGTTCGTACCCGGAGGACTGGAGAGAACAAGGCGGAGCAGTGCCTGAGCCAACCTGCGTGCCCACAGCCAAGCGCCAGGCGGTTCACGGGCTTTGCCGAGCTGGAAAAAAGGCAAGGCCTCTCTAGCGCGCACACATTTCGGCTCGGCTTCACCATGCCCTCCCCACATGTCTTGATGTCAAAATCGCTCCCGCGCTTGGGGGGAAGCTGAGGCAAAGGCCACAAGAGCACTTGCGGACGGTCCAGCACCGACCTCGCGGGGTGCAGGATCAACCGTGGATCCCTCCCGGCATAAGACGTCCAGCCACTTCCTTCACCGCGGACTCAATGAAGTCCTGCAGCTCTTTGACCTGACGAAGCTGGCTTTTTGGTGCCTCGACGGCCAGGGGTGAAGCCGAGGCCCTGGCCGCATCGAAGTCTTCGGCATCCTACGTGCCCAAAGCCAATTCCAACGTCAGAATTATGCCATCGAATCCGGAAGCACTGCAATAGCGAACTACCACGGCAGAATGCTGCGGAGGCCGTCCTTTGCAGCCCCTTCGAGGTCGTACCTGAAAGTCGCAGCCCGGAAATGCACAACACTTTCAGTCGTGGTGGAACGTGGACTGCTGCAGTAGCCCGCCCAGTCCTGAACGTTAGTGATTTAACATCTGGAAAAACTGGACGTGCTATCCCATCTTGCGAATTCTTGAGGGCTCTTCCATCGCTGCCTCTCCTTTTCCCAAGATCACCTTCGGCCCTCCTGCACCCTGAGACTTGCTGCCAGTAGCCAGAAATTCCCTCATGCCGTGTAGTTTGGGCACTGCATGTTCCGCAGCCAGGACGTCTCGTAGACTGCCAATTTTCTTAGGCCGTCTCGCAGGCAACGCCCGCGCCTCAGCTGGGACGTGAAGCGATTCTCTCCACTAGCTCTGCAAAATTAGGGCAAGGGGGCAAGGTGCACCTTTTGTCACCGAAGAAGCTTAAACAGCTTAGCATGAGGCTCGGTGGATCGAGGGCTTTCGAGTATGTACAGGCCCAGTGGCATCGCTCTACCAAGCTCACAAGATGGCCGAGCTCTTTCCGGGAGCTGGTCAGCGATTCAGACGGCACAGCCCTTCTGCTCCTTCTCGCCTGTGGCCAGACGACAGAGGCCGTGGTCACCGAAGTCTTTGTCGAAAACACATCTCACCTGAGCTCCAACCACCAGAAGTAGCAGCAACGACGATCCGCTCTCAAGGCTTGGACCCATCTGGATACGTCCTTGCCATTCTCTATGGAGAAGTAGGCTCCATAGCTTGAGTGGGAATCGTCCTCTGCGTCACAGCGCAAAGGCTCGGTTTAACGGCGCTTGCCAAGTCTACGGTGCTTCTCGTACCATGAACGGGAAGCCTTTCAGTCCTTCGACAGCGAATTGCATGTTGCGCCCTCTCCTAGCTTGTTGAGCTTTCGGAATTCTCCACAGCCTCGAGGCGCCAGGCAAATGTACACCCGTGGGCTCTTGGCTCTTTGGCTACTTTTCACCCTGCCTTCAGGCTCACAGCACAGTTCTTCGGACTTTGGAAAGCTGGTGCTTCCTCGGTGTCGGGTCTCTTCTTTCACCAATGGCGGGAGGCACGTGTTCTTGCTCTTTTACGAGTACCACCCGGAATCTCGCTTAGCTTCGGATTGCCGCAGCAATCTTGGGCGGCGAACATGTCTGCTTGGCGCAGGTCTCCTTGCAGCAGCGAGCGTCGGTTCTTCCTCGGAGCTGTGCGCTGTGGTCATCGCATGCAGAAGCAACTACTTGTAACATCCAAGACTGTAGGACAACGACAAGACTGAACGCCTAAAATCGTGGAACGAGAACCCCTTGACACTCAGGGAAGGAGCCAAAAACGCCATCGCCGGCGTTAGCCATTCCAGCCTTGAGACGAAACGAAATCTCGATCGCAGACGGTCGCAGACGTAAACACGGTGTCTAAAGTTTAGATTAGCATTGAGCAGGAGTTATTAGAGCGTATTCGGGCATTGAGGCCGATGTGAGGGTATGATTTCAAGCTCACTCACATGGCATGGCAAGGAGCATTCGTGTCGCAGGTGTGGAGAGAGCATGGTGGCACGCAGCAGACATCTTTCGAGCTGCCGATCCTGTCCTTTTTTGCCTGGGCCACATGGGGGTTTCAAACGAATGGGGTTTGTTACTGCAGAATCCTTCTGCTATGCTGCAGATCCTTCCCCCATTTTCTGACACTCCCACATGCCCAGCAACTGTCAGAGTCCATGCAAAACCGAAGATACCCGAAGAGCTATCAAACCACCGGAAAACAAACACTAAACTCACTAAGCCCTAAACCTCTTGAGTCTGAAATCTAAGTGCTGAGCCAGCTACCTCATCAGGCTGCCATCCTTTCGGACACTGGAATGACGCGCACTGCTGTATGCAGCATTTTTCATCCGACGGGTCCTTGCAAAGCAGCTAGGGAAAAGACTGACCAACTTCACGGAGGTGGCGCAAACACGAATGCGGCATTGTGTAGCACTAAAGCCCGCGATTTTGAGCTGGGTTGCAAACTGATCATCCTTGCTCACATCTTTGAGCCAACCTGGTCCGCATTCCTTCGCCAATTCAGCGTACTGTGCTCTACATGTGCACAGAATTGGAGTGACACAAACAGGAGAGTTTCCTGCCTTTCTCAGACTCCTGCAGCCCAGAGTCGTGATGGCGACACTGGGGCTCACAGCAGTCATCTGCCGAAGTGGCTTTTTGGGATTTCTTCTTCTCAGGGATGCTGAAGCCATGAGCAGCATCGCCTCACGCTGAACAGAGAAGCCGAGAAGTAAAGATGAGGCACATGTCTTGATGCAACCGGCCGGTAGGGTTGCCACATTTGAAAAGCTCGCACGACTTCACGCAGCACTCCTCTTTCGTGGTGCCAGGCTTTTCAATCATGGGCTCGTCATAGATGTAGCCAGGATCACATCTCACCTGACAGGCACTGGCCCTCCAACCCCAGACTCCCAGACTCAAGCAGAGTGCCAGCCTGCCCGCAGGTGGGCAAGCAGCATTTCTCGTCTGTGTTCCCGGGCAGCGTTCTCGCTTCCGGATTGGGGACCCTGAGCTACTCTGACTGCTCTGTCTATATCGGGTATATATATATATGTGTATATATATATGTGTGTGTGTGTATGTGTATATATATATGTATGTATATATATATATATATTACTTTTATTGCTATTATCATATTATAGTGCAGCACAACATTGAACAACATCAATAAAGGAGTGTGGAGAATCGACAAATGTATAGCGACCGTGTAAGGTATAGACTCTACCAGTACGGCGCTGATCGTTTTGGCTCGTCTCTCTCCGAGGCTCCATAGAGGGCTGCACTTGTGCAGCTCGCAGATATCTTGACAGCATTCCTCCGCAGATGTGCCTCGGGGCAAACAGTGTTTAGGTTTTAGGGTTACAGCCGAAGCCTCAACGTCCTCTGGCTCAGGATGCTACGAGAAAGGATAACACTTTCAAACACCCACTTCCACGTATACATTGCAAACATTTGCAGAACCACAGTGTCTCTTTTCGTGATATTTTCTCTCCATCTCCCACAAGCTCCCCCTGCAGGGCCTGAGGGGTCGGCTAAAATAGAAGCCCGCCCCCACCCTCTAAAAACGCCTCGTTGTTCGGGGTAAGGGGAAGTCTGGACAGCAAGCACTGTCTGAAGTCCCCGGTTCAGCATCGGCGAAAATGCACAGGCAGCCACCGGTAGCAAAGCTACAACCACAGCAAAGTACGGTCGGACGGGACTTGCTGATCAATACAATACAAGAGGTGTCCACCTACCTGCAGACTTCACTACACTCTGAAGCTGCAGCAGTGCCAGATGCACTGCCTTTTGCAGAGTTTCCCCGTGTCATGCAGAGTGTCTCCCCTGCAGGAGGGAAACTTGACTGGTGTAATGCGGAAGCCCAGGTGGGGCTGAAGAGTCTCTCTACGTCTGTCTTTCTTTCTTTCGGCAGGGTTATGGGCAGGGGAAGCTCCCCTACCCGCGCGCACTAAGGCGCCCCCGACAGTTGCGGAGGGCTACGTCTCTCTTCTTCGACACAGCCAGAGAAAGGACTCACTCTCTCTCTCTCTCTCTCTCCCTCCTCCGCACTCTCAAGCAACACAACATCCAGATCCCTCGCAGCCTGCTTTCAAGGGATTGCCGACTGCTTGACTCGCATTGCACTTGAAAGCGCCCTCAGACTCCGCAGCTCCACCTTGACTAGTGCAGGCCCCTTCACAGCCCCAACATGTCCATGGATAACAGGGAGAAGCAGGCAAGCAAACGACATTCTAGATATCATACAGGGAGTCAATGCAGTAGGTCCGGAACGTCGACTGCAAACCAAACCCTCGGGATCCGGCACGCTCTGTCGCAGCACTGCGTGTCTGTGAAACCTGCGTTCTACAGCGAAGCAAAGCACAAGCGAAAAGAGGAGGAATCGCCTCATGTCTGCTGCAGTAGTGTCCATGGTCCCGCCTGTGTTGTGGATGTAGAGTTCATTGGCCACATAGCCAACGCTGCAATTGAACAAACTGCAGGTTTTCTCGCAACATACCTCTGCAGGTTTCGGAGGAATCTTCAATTGACCCACAAAGTTCTGAAGTTCTACACTAGTATCCCCTTTGTAGTCTCTACATAGCTATACGATCATATGCGTTATTCTAGCAAGTAAGCTGCAACACCACAGGCAATATTTTGGGAAAACGCCGAGGCCTGGTCGGATGCACCCGGGATAGCCTTAGCTGAACATCAGGCGACTCCATCGGTTTTGTTAGGCTTCAGGGGCTTCAGGGTATAGGGGCGTAGGGTTTCAGGGCTCAGGATTTTAGAGGGCCTAAGGGTTAATTGAAGCGAATGTGAGGCTATTTGCATCGGTGGCACGCCCCGCCCGGGCTTTAGCACGTAGCCCCTTGAACACGGCCATGCGCTACACTTTGGTGCAGTGCTGGAAAAGTTCTGGGCACCTGAAGCAAAAAAGCTCATGGGGTTTCACTGCATCGACGCATTCACAGAGCAAATCGTCGCCCGTAAATCCCAACATCATCACCAAGTAGCCGTCGAGAGATGCACGAAGGTTCACGCATGTTGCCAATAGTGGCAACAGCAGGCCACATCCGAACCTGTGACAAGCTTCTATCTGCGGGCCGGGCCCATCCAACAAACTCTCACCGCAAAAACCTAACAACCTTAAAACCTTCCAAATCTGGAAACCTGCAAACCCTAATGCCGCTTACTAATGCCTGAAAGCCCCAAACCAGTCTTGCTGGCAGTGTGCTTGGCTCCCATGGCTGAAGCCGCTCACCTCAGCTGGGGCCTCTGCCTCGGATGTCCGAAGAAAAGAATTTTGGAAGGCATTGTAGGCTTCGGGGCATTGCGGATACGCTTGGGATGTTTTTGGTGTTGCAGGCATAAGAGTTTGGAGCATTCGAGGGTTCAAAAGTTTGAGGTTGGGGGTCATTTTACAAGTATTGTGTGTCCAAGTGGTCATACGTGTGGTGCGCTCGTTCCAAACATGATGGGCATATGGTGCGACACCTGTTTATGTATTTTTTAACAAAGCTAGCAAACGCTGCTGCAAACTCTCGGTATCCATGTTTTGTCCGTGCTTTGCGAGTTTCATGCATGTTTTCACATGTCCGGGCCGTAACAAGGCACACACTGCTGCTTGGGAACATTCAGTGTTGAATGAGCGCTATGTGGATGTTAAGGTGTGAAGGTATGCATCTGCCCAAATCTGCATACGCTTACTGTGGAATACTTGCAGCACATGTGCAGCAAAGGATGTGTCGCACGGTTGACATGCAACGGCTGTGTTCCGCATCTTATACTGCGGCTGATTTTGTGACTGACCTGCGATTTTCAAGGTTCGAGTTCCTAACGTTGCTGTCGTTAAAATCAATAAATTCGCAACATTAGTGTGTTCAGGACACATCATACCGGCATTGTCAAAACCTCACTGCGCAAGAATGTTTCGCAAGAAGTCCTCCATGTTTGTGGAGAAACCTTTGACAAGTGTTTCAGTTGTAACCTATCAGCCTACCAGGTTGGAAGATATAGAATCATAGAAGTGAAATCAGAAGAAAATCTCATGCAGGGTTTTCGTAATTTCCTCGAGACAGGCCTCAGCAGACCAGAAACAGTGCGGTAAGTCTCCAGCGACATGAAGATTAGTAAGGGTCATGCCATCAACGCGATAAATTCGGCTGCTATGAACACAGCCGTGTCCCAACTGGGAAATATCCGGCGCAGTGATGGGCGTGCAGGCGCTGCATCTACACGACAGCTTTTGCACGGGCTCGGCATCTCAAGCAACTGTATGGCCAACAGTAATTTGCAAAGCCTACGGTGTCGGGGATAAAAGTTTCAATTTTTCAGGGTTGATGGAGGGGCTAGAATGGCAGCAACGCATGTCTCACGCAGACGCCAAAATCTTTTTGACTGGATGATGGTCGGGTTCCATTCGGCAGAGATGCTTCATCTGTCAGAAGGTTGGGTGGTGGCACTTGGGTCCCGAAAGCTTGGGGATGAGGACTAAGCTACCGCTTAATCCTTGACCCCTAAACCCGGCCTCTGAAAGGGGCCTGGAACCTAGCCGGGACACCACTACCACTAGTTACGGCCTTAAGGCTCGAGGACTACAGACCCCGGGAGCCCCGAAGAGAAACCCCAAACATAGAAGCCCCCACACCAGGCCTTTTCCTTGAGCCAAAACCGAAATCCCAAGTTGCGGGTCATCCTGGCGCAGGGGCGTTCACATGCGGCTCTTCTCCACTTCAGTCTTTGGGCTTCCGCGCTCCCCCTCTCGCTGCAAGCGAGATATACACGGAATCTCAAAAGCGCTATGCGATTGTCACTGGCCCCTTGTCACCTCCATCAAAGAAAATGGGAAAGACGTGGTTGACCAACGAGCACTGTGCGGCACATTACGCTTACAACCCAAACTCAGAAACCAGAAACTAGGTTGATGCGTGCAGGCGGCTTGACCGCGTGTCTCAAGGGAAGGCAAAGGTGGAAAACACAGCCCAAAAACGACTCAACGTTCCTCACGAAGAGCACGCAGGCGATAGGTAGCGATGCTATGAAACAGTCGCTGCTGAGCTTCATCAAGCTGAGATTCCCAGTCGAACACATATCCATGATGAACCAGGAAATCGGCCGCAGAAGCTACCTGATGATCAAAACTGGTGTGGGACACATCAGAGTGTCCTGAGTCGGCCTCGGTGTCATGATCGTGATCCCTCGGAGCAGGTCTTACAATGACAACGTCATCGACATATCGGAACACTTCAGGAGCCTGATTGTTTGCAAGCTGCGGCCAAAGTGGGCGTTGCCGCCGCATGACTTCAGCCTCAAACAGGTGGCGCCCATGGGTCACCCGAAAGTTCCAAGCATCCAGCAAAGCGATGTTGTAATCAACACCTGCATCTCGATATCTCTCTTCAAGACGAACAGCTCTCCGCGTCTCGGCAAAAGCCTCATAATCTTCCCATAGACCCAAGAACGGAGTCCAATCAAGAGCATCGCGAGAAACTGAAGGAATCGAGATATAGAGTGGGGATCCGAGTGAAGCGGCTCAGAATCACGGACAGCTCGAGATGATGCGATGAATGCCTCATCCTGGCCTGCCCTCCGCAAGTCAAGGAATGCCTTTTCCCGAGCAAGGCCACGGAGGATCAACCTCCCCAACGACACGCATCTCCTCAACTAATGACCTCGCGCGCGCAAGATCAAGAACAGAAAGGATGGACAGCCTGAGCTGCTGCTCAGTGGCAGGCACACGAGTCGGAACTCGGTCGTGCGCATTGTTGCTGTTGGTCATGGCAGCTCGAGCAGGTGAGCTCGGATCACTCCAGAAACTCGAAGCCCATCAGGACCATGAGCATCCACGCAACCACCACCAGCCAACAACTACAACACAACAGCTGACAAGGATGGTCCAGTCTGGCCACCAAACGTCTTGCAGTTCATCAGTGGACTCATTGGCTTTGCTACCATGCACTGGAAGAAGCCTATCAAGAACCTCTAGCAACAGCAAGGCCTTGACAATTTTTTGATGTCGCGTGTGGGCGATCGCGGCGATCGATGATCATCCACCCAAACCCACATCACCGCTTTAAACACCACAACCCGGGCTCGATGATCACCCACCCAAGCCCACATCACCCCAACACCACTACCCGGCCCACCGGGCGATCGATGCTCACCCATCCAAGCCCACATCACTTAACCTGCCTAGCCTTCACCTCCACCCCACGCAAGGGGCAGCGGTGTCAACATCATTAAAGGGGTAAACACCACAACCCGGGCGATGGATGATCACCCACCCAAGCCCACATCACCAAGCCTTCACCTCCACCCTACACTAGGCCACTAGGCAGCGGTGTCAACACCACTACCCGGCCCAAGGCTGCGAAACACAACTCGGACGATCGATGATCACCCACCCAAGCCCACATTACATAACCTGCCTAGCCTTCACCTCCACCCTACACTAGGGGCAGCGGTGTCAACACCACTACCCGGCCCAAGCCTGCGGTGTAAACACCACAACATCCATGATCACTCCACCCAAGCTCACATCACCTGACCTGCCTACCCTTCACCTCCACCCAACACCAGGGGCAGCGGTGTCAACAGCACTTCACGACCCGGCCCGAGGCTGCGGTGTAAAACACCACAACCCGGGCGATCGATGGTCACCCACCCAAGCCCACATCACCTAACCTGCCTAGCCTTCACCTCCACCCTACACTTGGGGCAGCTGTGTCAACACCACTACCCGGCCCACGGCTGCGGCGTAAACACCACAACCCGGGCGATCGATGATGACCCACCCAAGCCCACATCACAAACCTGCCTAGCCTTCACCTCCACCGCACACTAGGGGCAGCGGTGTCAACACCACTATACCCGGCCCAAACCTGCGGTGTAAACACCACAACCCGGGCGCAACACTACACTAGGGGCAGCGGCGTTAACACTACTACCCGGCCCAAACCTCCAAAAGTGGGGCGATCGATGATCACGCACCCCAGCCCACATCACCTAACCTGCCTAGCCTTCACCTCCACCCTACACTAGGGGCTGCGGCGTCAACACCACTACCCGGCCCGAGGCTGCGGTGTAAACACCACAACCCGGGCGATCGATGATCACCCACCCAAGCCCACATGCCCAGCCTTCAAACTAGGGGCAGCGGTGTCAACACAACTACCAGGCCCAAGGCTGCGGTGTAAACACCACAACCTCGAGCCTTACTCCGCCCTACTCCGCCCTAAGCTGAAGCCTCCCTCCCCAAAGCCATGAGTGACAAAGAGAGACAACCTACGTAACTTAAGCCTCAAACCCCCCTAAACCCTAAGCCCTCGGCTTGGATGCCCGGCAGGACGCACTTGATGAAGTCGTCGAAGTCGATGAGGATGCTTTTGGGGGGATGGCTCAGCACAAGTTAGGATGAGTGCATGACAGGGAAAGATGACACAGTGATTTCATGATGTATGCCCTGTGAGCCCCAAATATCCGACATACAGGAAAAAGTTTAAAGGGCGGCAGAAGGCTAAGTAAGATAAGATTTGGAAGGACGCTGCAATTGCTGCAATGTAGCTGTAACAGCCTTTCCACTGCCTGCAGTGGTTCACGGATGGGGAGCCGGTCATGTACACCTCTTTTGCACGACGCCTCTCTAGCCTTAAAGGCTTCAACACCCAGATCCCCAACCCTCGACCTCCAACCCCCAAATAAGCCCCAAAGGCCCCCTCAGAGTTGCAGGCGCAGATGCATTAGACGAAGCTCGAGAGTCGCACTGGCGTGGAGTGCATTTCTCGAGCCAAGCTTCGGGTGCAGTCACACGTGGGCTCAAGGCATTTTTCCGGTGCGGGAGGGTTTAAGGCTTAGGGCCCTTGAGTGTGTTTAGGCTGGTCTATTTGAGTCTATTTAAGGTTTCGCACTAAGGCCCAAGGTTTAGATTTGGCTGTTGGCCCGCGTCTCCTGCAAGGAAGCGACCGCACAGCAGCTCGAGTCAGCTCACCCTACTACAGCGTGGACTCTCTGATCTGAGGTCGCGTCTTTTCCTCCATATCCTGGCAGAAGGGTTAGGATTGAGGACTCCGGGTTAGGCAAGGGATCCCTCGATTTGTTCGGAAAAAATGCAACTGCCCATGGCTGCCCTAGCGTCCCCAGGCATGTGCATCCCCGCACACCGACAAGACATCTTGACACAACATGCGCAGCCTGCAGGACTTCCAGGACATGAGACATCTGCTGCTCGTAGAGTCGTTGTGCCCTGTTGGCCTGACCAGGTGCTCAACTTCCAACCAACGAATCTCTCAAAGCTCCCATGCAGAAAATCGTGGCACTGCAGCTTTGTTCACCTTTTTGACATCGAGGCACAGTTGACACTGCATCCCGTCTAGCGCAACCTATGCTTTTCAGGGCAACAGGGCAGGGCAACTCAGTCTTTGCCGCGTGCTGCGCAAGCTTGCAAGTAAAGCTCTTCCTCTCTGACAGAGAGTCTCTGTCCTAAAATTCGTGAACGGCGTGAAGGCGACGAGGTCCACCTCTACGTCGTGCACAGGGCAGGAAGCACCTCTTCGGCCGGTTTTCGGCCAGCAGCCCAGCCGATCACGATGAACATCCGAGCATCGAAGGTTGTTGCTGATGGCGCTGACTAGAGTTGCGAGGACTCGCACCAGTCTGGGAAGCTGCAACCGTCATCAACCGTCCAGGTTCGCCGCAAGGTCCCCCAAACGCTACTTCTCCAAGCGGGGCCACAGCTCTCCCTGCTTCGCCTTGACCAAAGTCAATTCCAGGATGAAGTCCTGCGAAGATGGGCCCTTCAAACGAGGGACTTCCCACCCGCAACTTTATACTCTCGCCAAGAAATTCCCCCTCAAGCGGGCTTTAAAGCCCACGCTACACCATGCATGGAAGGAAGTTCGCGGGGTCCCGGGAGCTCAGCTCGAAACTTGCCGGGTCAATGCAGCTGAACCTGGGACATTGCATCGGGGAGACAGGCCAAAGGTTCATGTTTCAGGGTTTGGAGTTTTTAAGGTATTCAGCTTTTAGGGTTTTGAATGTACGGGTCATGGGAGTGCTAGCAGGTGTGATAAGGGTTTAGGGCCAAGTTTAGGGTTTGGGGAAAGGGCGTTCTGCAGCTTGGCGACAGCTGCAAATCGACCAGAGTCTGCTGTAGTGCCGTGATCTTCAAAGCCGTGGCTGACAGCGACACCTTGGTTTCGCGGTGAGTCACTGTAGACCTTGCCCCGGGTCTGCGGCAAAGACCCTTCACCGTCCTACGCCTACAAAGAGGCTGCTGTGTTCACCTCTGCTCTTACTAGTTTTGCAAATATGTTATGCTGATTTTGTGATTTTAAACTTGTTTCAAGTCCTTAGTAATTTTGCTACTCTTTCTTTGCTTAGCGGCGGCAGCTTTCACGTCTGGGTCCAGTCGCGGGATCGAGAATACCAAGTCCAGCTCCTGCCACCAAGCTTGCCCCGTAGTGTCAGAAGGCTCCGAACCCTTAGGCTTTGAAACCCTTAAGGGCTCAGGGTCTAGAGATTAAGAGTTCAGTCATTATAGGGTTTAAGGACTGAAGCCTTCGCCCGAGACTAAACCGGGAAAGCCAGTAGCTTCGAGAGGATGGCCTGGTCATCCTGCTGCATGTCCACAAGCTTGCCTGGAGATGCTTAGAGCCCTGGGGGTCCATGGTAGGATCACTCACTTTTCTGAGAAAAAAACCAAAACCAAAGACTCCACATGGATTCAACAAAGAGTGCTGTACAACTCCGGACTGGGCCTGGATGGCTGATGGGACGGGCCTCCTCCGCGCAAATTTCCTGCAGGGCAGTCTTCTGCCAACGAACTTGAGGAAACCACGAATCTCATGCTGGGTTTGGGGCTTACGGTTTAGGTTTCGGCTCTTCCAGATCGAAGCTTCTCACTTCAGTCAAGCGCCGCGCCCGAGCTGTGGCAGTGAACGACGAAACCAAAGCCTCGACGTTCAGCTCGAGGCAACGGTGGGGCTCCTTCAAGGGCTCAGCTAGGGTTTAGGTTTTTCGGCCAGCTTAGGGCTGGCTCCTTTTCACGGAATTAGCTCCTTTCCACGGTAGGCTTAGGTGTAGGGCAGGTATGCTTAGGTTTAGGGCAAGTAAGAGGTTTTGGACGTTTCCAAACTTCCTTCCAAGCCCACTGCCGCAGTGGGGGACTTCTCCAAAACGCACGGAGCTCCTGCTGGGCATCGGTAAAGGGTCTGAGGGTTTGGTATTTCTGTATGTATGTATGTATGTATGTATGTATGTATGTATGTATATATATATATGAATGAATATATATATGTATGTATGTATATATATATATACAAAAATGTGTGTATATGTATATGGCTCTTAGGGCGAGGGGTTGCTGGATTTCGGGCCAAAGAGGTCGCAGCAAAAGCATTGCAAGAATACTGGGAGCTGGCTCAGGAAGCCTCCTCCTCCCAGACGGATCCGGGCCATCGAGCAGCTCTGTCCAAAGGCAGCCTCCAGCATCTTCTGGCCGACCTCCAGGTTTTCGTGTTTTCTATATGATATGATTTTACGTTTTGGCTACTAACTAGGAACCACACAACTTTCTCGCTACTGTTACTAGGCTATATATGATACTAAATACTGGTGGTCATTTCGGGAATTTCTGAGCTTTACTCTCGGGGTGAGGCCTAAACCGGGCGAGGCGCTTCTCCAAACTCATTCTCGGACACATCCAAGGTCTCCAGAACGTAAGGATTCACCTGCGACTCGGAGATTCTGCAGGGACAAGACAGCTGAGCGGGTGAGCCCTGTAGGCCCTGAGCCAAAACCTCCCTAAACACACGCCCTAAACCATAATCTGTGCAAGCCCCAAACTATAAGCTCTATGTTATATATATATATATGTATATACATATATATATAGAGAGAGAGAGTCATATATATATATATATGTATATATATATATATAATCTATATGAGTCCTATAGGCCCCTAAAGGCGCTCCTCCAGAGCCTCGGCCAGGCTGCAGCAACCTTTGTCCGCGATGGCCTCGTCTCGAAAGGTCCGTTTCAAGGAGAGCTTAGGTTTAGGGGTTCAGGGGTTAGGGGTTTAGGGGTTTAGGGTTTAAGGGGTTTGGGGTTTAGGGGTTAGGGGTTTAGGGGTTTAGGGTTGGGAATTCGGGAAAACAAGCAGCCCTTATCAAAGCCGAAGATGGCAGGAACCTTATTTTTGGCACAGTTATACTCCACAGAGAAAAGAACCCTTATTTTAATTTCACTTTTGTATCGTCCGAAACCATCAGTTTCCACCGTGCTCAGGGAGAGACATTCAGGCGCAGGTTGAGCTCGCACAAGAAGTCGTTGCATCGAAGCCCCGCTGAGAGGCAAGCTGCGGCTTCGCAGCTGAGTCCTGAGAACAGACGAGGTTTGTGTCCCTTCTGGCTACAATGTCAGAGATGAAAGCTGCTGATGCACTTGCTTGAAGACAGAACTTGGCAGAGGGTCAGATTAGCCGTGAAGGGGGGTTGCGAGCTCAGTCTTTTTCGATCTGCTATGAGGGGTCCCTGAACCTTTGCTACACTGCCCTCCATTGCAGGGTGTTCTGCAACAGATGCAGGAACGAAACGCCCCAGCCAGCTGCCACCAAAAGGCTGTTGTTGGACCTGAGCTCGAAACCAGGGCTTGGCCCTTCTACCCTATCTGTAGCACCGGTCAGCTCCACGTCTTCTTGCCAACTTCTTGCTGAGCCACAGAGATAGCTTGCACAGCGACTCGGAAACCTGAGAAGCTCAGATGCATCGCACTGCCAGGTACATGGATTTTTGCGGCGGCATCCTAAACCCTAAACCCTGAACCCTAAACCCTAAATGGCCTGCAGGAGTTGTCCCAGGGGCTCACCGGCCGCATCCGTCAAGCCGCAGCCTCCCAGGGATAAGTCAACGCTTTCCTGTGATCCTCCCGAAACCTATCTTAGCAGTCTTCGCAGCTAAACCCTACACCCCTAAATCCCTAAACCCCTAAACCTCGAAACCCACAAACCCACCCCTAAACCCCTAAACCCCAAACCCTAAACCCCAGGCCAGGTGGGGATCCAACTTCTGCTTGGAAGCCCCTGGCCTGAAAGCTGCAGCGATCGGAGAGTTTGGGCAGAACGGCAAAGCGCTGGCATGGCCTGGCCGCAGTTTGCTCTCGTGCACTCGGGGATTTGGGGTTCGAGTCTCTTTTCATGCAAAAATGAAGCTTTCTGTGAGAGCGTGTATGCCTATATACAAGACCATCTTGAAACTAGCCGTGTTCGTGGTTCACCGGGATGACACTGGCCACAACTTCTCTAACCGTCCTGGACAGCCAGATGCTACGAAGATCCGATCAAGTCCCGTCCAATCGTCGCACCTTGTCGCCAAGATCAAGTAGACAAAGCTCGGCCAAGTGCTTCTCCTTCCGTGCAGCAGGTGATCCCCTCGCTCTAGGCCTAGGCCTACGCACTTCATCGGCACTCCTGCTTCAGCGCTTGAAAAAGATCCGATAAGCAAGCAGCGCTCAAGGTCTCAGAGAAGTCTACCTGGCACAAAATGGCGCGTGCATGAGAAAGTAACGTAGCTGCAGGCTACTGCTCAAAAGGCTCAACTCAAGCTCGAGATGTAGACTGAAATGGCATAGGACATGTGGACGTGAGAACGACGAACAGTGACTCGCTGTACGAGCTGACAACAAAGACAGGCGCAGCAGTCTGCCTCAAACACATCGGAGCGATCGAACTATACAACCAGTGTGCATTACACGACCATGCGACGCCCCCACCTCGTTACCGCAAGCACCAGATAACTCCCGCAAACATACACCCATACAAAAGTACGATCGTGTCCGAATAAACGAGCGTGCCAACCCGCAGCAGTGCTACTCACTACGCTTCGGCAAACACCCTCAAAGCAGAGCCAAACCAGCCAGAGTCCACTGAGACATCGCGCTCCGGGTCTTGAAAATCGGAGAGCCGAAGCTCTTGCCTTTGAAGTCTCTTGCAGTTCATCTCTCGTAGTGGCCCACGAACCATCAAGACATGTTTCCTCAATCCTTCTGCTGGGGCCCACGCTTCTTCAGCACCTCTGCTCTGTGCCATGTAAAATGCTTGTCACAACTCGGTATATAGACTATATAGATGCCCTGGTCATGAGTGATTCCCTCTCGTTGCATTGCTTTGCAGCGCTATCTGCGTAGCTTTTTGGATATTAACAGCAGTCGCACAGGAAGGGAAAATGGAGTGCAGATAGTCAAGCTGCATCCTCCGCCAAGAGATCGGCAGCCAGGTCGTTCCATCCTCTCAGCTTGAAGCTGCACAGCTTCTCCTGATGACGCGCGTCGTTTCTATTCTACGCCTGGTGCAAAATGACATAGCAAGCTCTTCCTCTTGGATCCAGCGCACTGCCAAGTCGACCACTTGCGACTCCAGGCGCAATCGGAGACTCGGCATGGCAGCTCGCCGTGGACGTCATCTAATCAAACTAGTCTCTGAGCTGGATGTAACCATGTTTGCCATGCACCAAAGTACGAGTCTCCATCCCTGGTGCTTCTCAAATCAGCAGCTCCAGGCTGAATTCTATGTCTTTCAACAGCTGCAGACATGAGCGGTGTCATGAACGGGATGTTGCGGGCAATTGCCCCGCAACCAAACACAGGCTACACTCAGCAGGAACCACTGGACCATCTGCCTGAGAGCACAAAGCCAGCTGCACGCAAGCAAACCAGAGGGCAAAACCCTCAACACCGGCCTGCTCGATGGACTGGTAGTATTCCTTGCAGGACCGAAGTCTTTGTTTCTCAAGTTTATCTTTCAAGACACACTGTTCGGAGCTGCATGAAACACACCAACCCTCCCATTCTCACACTCAAACCTGAAACCCCAAACCCGGACAACAGCAGAGCAGAAACCATTAAATTCGAAACCATGAAACAAGGCCTTAACGCCTGCATCGGAGTTTCCCCGCTGTCGAATCTTATAAACCTTACTCCTAACAAATGCGCACACAAACACACACACACGCAACAAAAAGAGCATCACTTCCACAACCCTACGGTGCCACCCCCAAAAAACCCTAAAACCTATCTTCTTCCAGGTCTCGTATTCTGCCAGTCGTGCTTGCTTGCTGAGAACCGTGGCCTGGTGCAGATCTAGGCTCCATGCGCGCTTTGGGTTTAGGGGTTCAGGGATTCAATAGGAATTTAGGGTTTAGGGATGTAGTAGCAATTTAGGGTTTAGGGGTTTAGTGGGAATTGAGGGTTTAGGGTCGTTCGGAATTAGTTTCGAGTTTGGTATGAGATAACATACACTGGACGAGCTTCCGTACTATTGCGTGCCATTGCAACAGCATGCCACATGGTATATGCATCGCGACAACATGTACACGTAAGTGTGTAGAACTGGTACATACACGTATATGTATGTGTATATGTACGTATGTATATATATATATTATATATATATTATATATATATACATATGTATATTATACACAATATGAAGGTTATACGTGTGCATGCCATGTCACACATATGTACACGCATACAGTATGATCTGTGCTTCTGATCACACCGTCAGAAGGACACGTCCGCACCGAGATCCGCACTTGCTGGGCCAGCTTCAGTCGGTCAGCCGTTTTCATGGAGACGGCTTGCAAACAGTCCTGGCAAGCTACCAGAACCATAGAGACCCTATAAGCCCTGAACCTGCAAAAACCCTAAAGGCCTAGACCCGAAAGCCTCAACACCCTCTGATCACATGCCCTCCCGTTGGGGCAGCTGACGTGCTCGAGTCCCGTCAAACCCTTGAGTCTTGCAGAGCTCCTGGGCTAAGTACTCAGCCTCCGCACAGCGAGAACCGTACCTGGCCGTCTACGCTGCACTCACCAATAGCCCAAAAACGTCCTATTTTGCATTCTCTCTAAACCCTGGCCCTAGATCGGTTCATCCTGGCCAAAACCGGCCTTCTCGCCAATCTGTCGTGCGCTTTCCGCCTCTCCTTTGGTGTACAACAAGTCTTGATGGGAAGGACGGCAATGCGGCCTACGGTTTTAGAGTGCTTGGTCGTGGGTGGCACCAACAGTCTTTTCGGAAGCTTTTGGGTTTAGGGCTCCAGGGTTTCAGAACTTCGGGGTTTCAATTAAGGAGCGTGTCCTGCGCATATTTCGTCACAAGCTGCACGTCGGAGTGGATCTTTCTCGACACCTCTGCGGGTAGCAGGTCAAGCAACATCCAGTCCCTCGAAGCGGAAGCTGCCTCCTTGTGCTGCTTGATGACAGTGTCAAAGCAAACGATGATGTCTTGCTCCAACTCATCAGCCAAAGTGATGGACTGCTCTCCGCGGTTGCGGAAGTTCACCTGCACGCGAATGGCATGTGAGGGCAACGCTGAATCAGCCTGGGTCTACCTTTTCTCTGCCCAAATCTCACCATCTCGCTATAAACCCCAAACCCCAAAACTCCACCGCACACCGAAAGATTTCATTCGCTGTCCAAGCTGCGATCATCGCATCAACTGCGGTGTGGAGGGGATTGCCTGTTACGGACAGGAACATGAGGTTGTGACAGAGCAGCCCCTCTTTTGAGACGGCTTTCTTCCTTCCTTCACTAGTGGATCTTTCCTTTTCAGCCGTCCTTGCCTGTCCTGCATCCTCTTGTATTGCAGGAACATTTGTTGGTTCGCAAACCTTTGCTGATGCTGAAAGAAGAACTGTCGAGTGTTGTTTTGCTGGCTGTTTCACTGGCATTCCACGCTACTGAGGGATCCAACCTTTATAGGCTTCAGAACAGGCAAAAGGTGACGACTATGAAAGGAGGCAACGGGCACAACAGTATCATGTAGGTTTAACCCAAAGAGTTCTGCAGCTTGCAATCATTCGTGTACTGGTTTGGCCCGGCAGCAATTACGTAAATCCTTGCCGAACCAACATACTAGTTTCGTGGAGATTCGTTCCTACATTGGTCTGCTACCCAAAAAAGTCGCTCGCCATGTGATGCAAAGGTCAGAGTTTACCAAGAAAGCTGTGGCGTCTGCCTGTTGACCCGGCCTGGCTCAACCTGTAGATCCCCGCCAAAGCCCAGGAGACTCTCGCCATACTTCCTTTCCAACTCTGCTCGGCTTCGCAGAAGATCTGCCACCTTTTGCAGCAGGCCTCAGTTGGCCCCACCCTGCATCCCAAGACTCAAGTCTGCGCCAGAAACCAGCGGGGTCAGAGAGTGTGCAAGCCATGGTGCCCTGCGAAGGCTCGATCCTCTCTCTCCAGAGAAAATCAAACCTCAGGCGAATTCGATTTTTGCAGAAAGCACACACGCACAGAGTTCCTTTGCACTGTAAGAACACCGAGGCGCTTGTCCCACAGGTCTCTGCGGAATCTCAAGGACTTATCCTCCGGCACCTGCACTCCAATGCTCCAACGCTCAGCAACAGCCGCAAAAACACGACACCCGCGATTCGCACAGGGAGATGAGGTCGAGGACGAGATGGAACAACATGGCTTGAAGATTGTCAGAATCACCAGCAAAATGACATGGTCTATGATAATGATACAGACATCATCAGCACCATCCGATAGACACCATCATCATCACCGTCACCATCTGCTGGTTTTTCTATAAAAACCCAGTAGAAGCATCGGAAAAAAAACAACAACAACATCGGGATACATGGGTGCCATACTTCCGGGTATACTATACTATAATCATAATAAGGAACCCCCAAAATAGTACAGGTAGTTATCAAAGCCCCTTTGTTTAGACTTCGAGGATGTTGGACCCTGGCCTCGGCAGGCGCCTCCTTCTCCTCCACGCTTTCGGCGCTCTCTACCTGCCGCAGCTTTCGGCCCCCTTCCGGGCCTAGGGTTTAGGGTTTAGGGATGTTTAGGTCTTTAGGGTTTTAGGGTTCCAAGTAAACCCCCCCGCCTTCCGCCAAGGCCACTCCGCCTGCGATGTCAGCTCTGGCATGGAGGCGATGGGCCGGTCCGGTGGCGCTTCCGCGGCCTTGGGAGGGCTTTCGGCTCTGCTCCTGGGCCCCAAAAAAAGCAAGGAACCCGGGACCCAAGCAGCTGCTGGCGCATCTTGTGCCATGGCTGAAACGGGCTCGCGCCAGCTTACGACTGGCCCAGCTGTGGGGACTTGCACGTTGTGGGGGCTTGTCTGGGGCTCTGGTGCAAGGCAGAACGCCATGCAGGCTACCTAGGGCGAGTATTCCTCTTTGCTACCAATGCAATGCTTAGGTACCTGCACACCATTACATGATGTTGTGTTGTAATCGTGGGCATCCGTCCTACCGCGGCAATCGGAATCTTCTGTCGCAGACCGACCGACGTCACACTTATGACAATCATCCTGCGAAGCTTGCTGTTACGCAGAACTGCATGACAGCTTGTCTAGGCTGCCTGCTAAAGAAAAGCAGCGGCACAGAACACTCACAGATGCAGTGCATTTTGCAGCTCCTCTGGACAAAAACGCCTGTGGAATCTCCAATCCACTCGGGCGAAGCTTCTTCTCTTTTTATGTGGCGCAGCCAGCACAGCGTTTTGGCTCGGACCCCTTTCTGCGCAAAGAAATTTGTTTCTGGCGTCGAATTATGCAAAGTCCCGTCAGCCCCTGCTCCTGCTCCTTCTCCTCCTCGCCAGAGGGCATGATGCAACAAATCATTTGGCCACATGAGGTACCAGCCCACGCTCTCCATCAAGCACTCCCAGAGTTCGGAAGAATGGCCTCTGCAGTGGAGGAAGAGGCTACTGTACCTGGAGACACAGTTGCAAGTAGCTGGTTTCGAAACTCAAGACTGTACTTCGCAAGCAATTCCGTCTCTGCCGTGCCATCGCAGCAAGCTTTGTCTAAGGTGTGCACTTGACATGACTAGTTGATACAGTGTTGAAGCCAGAGCGTTGTAGGAAATGCGGACACAGGCCTCGGCAGTCGCCTCAGTGGCCTGCAGGGCAGCTGCCTCTGCAGCTTCTTCTGCTTCCTGGACGGCTGAAGACTGTCAAAAGCCCTACCTCCCCGAGCCCAACTACTCAGTATGGTTATGATTACGCTCATCATGATAATGATTTCCCAGTAGTAGTCACAGCAGCAGTCGCAGTAAGAGTAAGAGCAGCAGCAGGACTAGGACTAGTTTAGTAGCAGTAGTAGTAGCAGTAGTAGTAGTAGCAGTAGTAGTAGCAGCTGCAGCAGCAGCAGCAGCAGCAGCAGTAGTAGTAGTAGTAGCAATAGTAGTAGTGGTAGTAGTAGCAGTTGTAATAGTACTAGTAGTAGTAGTAGTAGTAGTAGTAGTTGTTGTTGTTGTAGTCGTAGTAGTAGTAGTAGTAGTAGTAGGAGTAGTAGTAGTAGTAGTAGTAGAAGTAGTAGTAGTAGTAGTAGTAGTAG